TTTTTCTGGTAGGATTATATATTGTTCCTCACAAAATGTATAACCAAATCCCATCTGAATGATACATTTTTATTCTGAATCTGTATGTTATGGTATAACACTATTGGCCACTTCGAGGGGCTCCAAATTCAGTATGGTGTATAATGAACATGACTATGTTTCAGGATAACATGCTAGCCCAACGCGAGTTTGATATCATAATTACTTTACTCTTAAATGCTCGTACCTGATCATAATAGAATGATGATCAAAGAAACAACCGACTCCGTAAGTGATGACGCGAGCTTCAGATGTAACACGGTCACCTTGCTCATTTGGGGTCACAATCATAATACACAGGACTGGCTTCAAGCTGCTCCACAAATATCTCCAAAATCTCCTTCGCAAGTTTTTCTACTTGATTTTTTTCAGATATTGAACCACACTTCTCCTTCGCTATATCAGCAAATATTGCATCATAGAGAAGAACCACGGCATCATTGGCTTCTGTAGGTGGTAAGCCCAGTTCCCTCCATTCTTTTTCGAAGTAATTCCTGATTTTTTGCGAAGTTGTTACCTCATCCTCTTCTTTATGGGTTCCCTGCCACTGCCAGAGCTTTTCTATGACATTGCTGAATTGCTTCTCGTCAGCCAAAAGCTGCAACTCACATCAGGAATTACAATATTTTCAAAAATATTCATAGTTCCCAAATAGTAGTAAGAATTCATGCAAGTCAATATTCACTAGAGTAGATTAGATGAAAATAAAACTTCATCACAAAGAAGAAAACTACCAGATCTCACTGTGCATATATACATTCAGTTTACAATATCTGAAGTGCAGGTCACTTAATTTGGAATGGGTATACTTGACGATATAAATCATTTGAAAAACAGATTTGTTCAATAGCATTTGTCTTACAAGATCAATTTGGATTTGCTCTAGTTCATAAAGAGAATACGGTTGAAGGAAACTATATGTGAAGGATCAGACATAAATTGATATGGACTCCCTAGAATTGGTAACTTTGACTCCAGTGAACTAGCTCACTGCAATCAGTGGGGTATCTATCATCATATGACCAACAGAAAGAATATTTTCCTCGAGTATAAAATAATAACAACAATTTCACATGGTATTAAGTGCAGTGGATAGTTCTAAGATCCAGAAGCTAGTCAACTCAGTGCAGAACTTAAGGGTTACATGTCAGGGCTTACCCATTTTTTGTCAGTGCCTGTTACTGATAGTATATAATGTTAAAATTTCCAAAATTAATGAATCCACAATTTGATGGGTGTAATCCTTATAGTACGTAAGATGTCGGATGCAGATAAACCAGGCCAGTAAAATTATCTAAGAAAATATGCTAATGATGGTATTAAGGGTTTACTACACTTTCAAAGTTTCTCATAAAAAAGGGTTTACAACAGTTTCCAATTCCCAATGTCAAGGGGAAGATATCATTGAGGGGTATGTCCAAGGAAGAAAAGGAAAGGTACCGATTTACCTTTTTTATCCGAGCTCCATTAGCGACCTTGATACTTTGAATGAAAACATAAGGCTTTTTTGCAAGAGTATCTGCTAACTCTTGAAGGACAGGCTGAAGCACTTCTGCAAATTGAGCTTGGCCCAATTCATTGCTGCTCTCCACTTCGTGTTTTTGCAAGATGTCGCTCAGCAAAGGATATTCTGTTTCATCACTGGTATGTTACAAAGAGAAGTTCGTTGCAAATGCACACAGGTTTTAACATCATATGTGAAGTAGGGTCCTTTTACTGATCAGTTAAAAAATAGAACAAATGCTCAAAACTAAAGTTCCTTACGTCATAGTAGAGAAAAGTTATTTAAAAACCATTTCCAAGTAAGGAAAATCCAAAGAGAATGTTTATACAAAAATTTCTCATTGATGAGTCTGATCTGCATCTCCTTAATGTATTACAACATTCTAGAAATTCTTCCATACATTTAACGTGGAAAGCATTCATAGTCGTGATAAACATGTGATGCAGTATGTTTTTTCTGCAAATAGTTAGCGACTTGTACCAGAATAATAGCTCTATGTAGCTAGCTACTGTACCACTAAGAGGAGATTCAAAATATCCTCGTAGAAGCTTATGTACGGGAGTTTTAAACATGATATGTAGAACACATGAAACAGTGGATATAATTGAGCAGAAAGTTTTGAAAAATTCCACAAACAAAGGCAGGAAGACCAACTTGCAAATAAATTCGTTGTAGAAGCGTGTAGAAGACAATTCTCAGTCTAAAGACATAGACCAAAGTAAAAATGGAAAGTAGATTACCAAGAATGAAACAAGAAAAGAGGAGAAAAGGAGGAAAGTAAAATATGAATAAACCTGAGAGAGGTGGTACACCCGTTTCAACCCCCATGTGGATAAGAGCATTTTTAATCTCACTCTTCTTGATCTTTCCTTTATCTTCTGTATCTAAATCAGTGAAAAGGGACTCAGCTAGCATTGCAAAATCATCTTCATCATCTAAGAAAACACGCAGATTGTTCCCATCCAAAATTGACACTACAACAGGATCATCTGGGAAAACAGAAATTTATTAGTAATGTTTTCTTGCTACAGAGATAAAACAGAGAGAAATATCCAACAAATCAATCATAATTCATAGTGATCTAGGTAATCCTCTATCATTCTACTAGACTAAAATGGTTGAACCAGACAGATACATGATATCTGTACCAAGGTATATATATATCTAAAATATCAGATTACAACTTTTGAGCGAAGTATCTAGTTCTCATTGGAAATCAATGCCCTACACATGCTTGGAATCCAGTCAAACAACCAACATTTAAGCCATCAGTTCAATTTCATCACGCTGAAACAATTTCTCCTCCCTTTTCTGTTCATCCTTCACAGTCAAATTCACTATTCGCAAGATCTAAAATATCAAATTCATGAGGAAAAAAAACACTCAATCATACTTCCTGATGAGCTGCCAAGAGCACCGATAACGAAATTCACGAACATTACGCATTAAGACACCATACAAACACGAGGAAACAAGATACCTCTTAAACCATCAGCGATCGCAGCTACATAGGCCTTCAGAATCTCAGAGGCTCGCTCACGAGTGAGCTCCGATCGTCGGAAAGCAACAATGTCGTGGAAGCCAATGCGATTAAGAGCAGATGATCTGAGAGTCTCCGACAAGGCGATCTCGAACAGAGACGAGGAGACTGAGGAATCGGCAAGGTCGAGGACCTGAGCTCCGGAGACACTACCATCGGAGAAGGGCAGAGAGAGGTCGATGGATCTTAGCTGCGTGCCGTCCAGGATCGTTATTGTGGTTTCTGACATTTTCGCAGAGAGGAAGAAAAGCTCGAGAGAGGGAAATGGAGAGTTTACTTCAAATGCGAAATTGACTCTTTGGGCTTACGAAGAGTATCTCTGTCTTTTATCGAAATATACGGTTTTTTTTTTTTTTTTTTTTAATTTAATCCATTTTTTATTTTTAATTACGTTCCAAAATTTTCAATTTTGATTACAAAAATATAATTTGGTATCGAGTTTGAATAAAATACAAATTTTGACTTTTTTTAAAAAAAATATTCTTGTATTTTTGTTTTAGTCCAATTTTTATTTAATTTTAATAGACATTTTCAGATTTTAAAACTGATAATATCTGTTAGTCTAAATTTGAACTATTATAAATGGTATTAGAGCTAGTCACAGAGATCTCACATCAATTGAAGAGATGAACAAAATCATAAAGCTAATGACTATACATAAATTTATATTAAAGAGTCTACGCATCAATTATAAAAAATATATAAATATGAAAATGTTTTTTTTTTTTTTTTTTTTACATTTTACTTGGTCTTTCTTTTTTAGTATTTGTATTATATATATTATAAATAATTTGTCTTTGTCTCTAATTAATTAAATGGGACTTTTTACAGTTCCTTGGAGAAAAAATAATAAACAATTTACATGAGACAGAAAAAAGGAAAATAATAATAATAATAATAATAATAAACATCTTTAAAAGACTGACAAAGAAATAATAAAATATATGAATCTAAACTTATTTTTCTTAAAAAAAGAAAAAGAAAAAGCCTAGAGTAATTTTATTTTATTTTTATTTCAACTTTGCCCTTCTTAATTCATTAACAGATTTTATTTATTTTATTCAATTTTATTTTTCTATTAAAAAAAAAAAAAAAGAAAAGAAAAAAACTACATGGACCTAGTCAATATGTGCCATTTTTTCAAACTCTAATTTTGATAAACTAGTTTACTAAAATAATAATAATAATTGATTTTTAAAAATACCCTACAATTTTTTTTTATTAATACTCTTCAATTAAAAATAAATAAATACTGTTTATAAAATTTTAAAAGTAGTTTTAACACTGAAAATATCTATTAATACTTCATAAGTTATCTCCAAACTTTTTAATGTTAAATATTTTTGAAATGTCATATTAACGGTAAATATAATTTTTAAATTTTAAAAAAATTAAATTTATTTTTTACATTTAAAAAACGTCAATTTAATGATATTAATAAAAAAAATTTCAAATTCAACGGTATTTTTTTAAGACAAATACCAAAATAAAATTTAAATTACGGCCACCAAAATTATATTTTAAACCTATATTATTCCTATCTCATGTTTAAGAAACATGAATAAATGTATTTTTTATATATTTAAACTTGTTTTTATTGTTTTGTTTTTTTTTTTTTAAGTTGAAAATATTTTTTGTTTTTCTTTCATAAAATTAAATGAAAAAATTATAATAAATAATTTTTAAAAATATATACGTTTACTCAAAAAAATAAAATATTATTCATACATTTACCAAATCAACATTTCAAAACAAGTATAAAAAGTCTTCATGTGTGACCCATAAATATATATATTTATGGACCCAATATATTATAAATTATTAAATTTGAATCTCTAATATATATATATATATATATATATATATGTATATATGTATAATTTTTTCATCAAAGACCAGCTGCTTCTTCTTCTTCGTTGCATCATGTCGGAAGAGCAAATTTTAGAGTTTCAAGAAGCTTTTTGTCTGCTTGACAAAGATGGTGATGGTATGTATGAGTTACGAATATCGGAATCAAATTCTTCTATCACCACTCGTGGCAGCTAACTGTTGCCACGATCAATCTTTTGTTCTTGAATTTTTGAATTACCGATCATCGTTTGATAACCATATTTTTGTTCGTTTATAAACTCAGCAATATGAATATGATGAAAACTCGAATTTTTGAAGCTAAAGATATACGTCATAACCCGTTGAGTTATGTTCAAGGTGACTGATATCTGATCGTAATTATGAACATTTTTTGAAATATAGGTTGCATAACGATCAAAGAGCTTGCTACAGCGATTAGATCGTTACATCAAAACCCTACCGAAGAAGAATTGCAAATGATGATGAATGAAGTTGATATTAACGGGAGTGGATCCATTGAATTTGAGGAGTTCTTCAATCTCATGGCAAAAAAGATGAAGGTATTTATTAACATTAATTTCAATTATATGCTTAAACTTTATAAATTTTTTATTTATAACGGTAAAAAATTGGCGTGATATCTAATATTTAAAAATTAAAAGGCGTATATGATATTATTTATAACTAAAATTATTGATACAATTTATTTTATCTTAAAAGATATTATTATCATTTAATATACATTAACAGTCACGTAATTACGTAAATAATATTGTTATTTTTAATAAATTTCAAAGGTAAAAAAAAAATAATAAGTCTTAAGGGCATAAATGTAAACTTACTTCCAAGTTTGGGTATTTTAATAATTTATTTATTTTTCCAAAAGGAATTTTCAAATAATCAATTATATACTTTTAATTTCCACAAATATTCAATGAGCCCAACTTGTTGGAATATGAGTTTTGACTTTTTTATTTATTTATTTATTTTTATTTTTATTTTTATTTTCGAGGATTATATAATTTTTAATTTGTTATTTAAAGAAAGTAATTAATAGATAAATTGTTAAACAAGCCTGCTAATATTTTTAAAGATTATTGTTAAATCTTCATTTTGTTGATAAATCAAGTCAATTACTTGTTAAAAAAGCATGTTTATGCTTAAAAAATGGATAAATAAATTAGTTTATTCAATATTTTTAAAAGAAATATATTTCAATAATTTATAAAATAATTAAATATCTGTGAGGTTTCGAGATATATATATATATTTTTTTTATAATTAGTAAAATAATAGGCTATTTAAGAATTTATTAAAAGCTCGAGAATTAAATTTAAATATTTGAATATTTAGGAAAATGAAGCCGAAGAAGAATTGAGAGAAGCTTTCAAAGTATTTGATATGGATCAAGATGGATTCATATCGCCTAACGAGGTTTGATTTCTAATTACCCTAAAGAAAAAGAAAATGTTGGAAGCGTTATTTGGTTGGTTTTTTAAAATCGATATTGTCTGATGGGTCGGTCGGTTTGAGTGTTTATGAATTCACTAGCCAACCGATCCTAGTTGACACATAAACTTAAATCGACCAGCTGAAGTCAATTCTGTCGATCAGCTCGGTTTTCAATTTTTGTTACTTATTTATGCTAAAAACATTTACAAATCCCTCTCGATCATTTTTAAGGTCTGTTATATCAATCCCTAAACCCTAACTCGAAAAACCCGAGAAAAAAGGGTTAAAAGTGGTTTATTTTGTGTCTTTGGCAGCTGAAGCATGTGATGATCCACATGGTGGAGAAATTAACAGATGAAGAAGTAGAGCAAATGGTCAAAGAAGCTGATTTGGATGGAGATGGTCTTATTGACTATGAAGAATTTGCTAAAATGATGCTTCTTATTTGATCCCAAATCCCTTTTATGAAGTTAAAAAATTGAATAAATGACTCGATTCATTATTTAATAACGATTACTGATGTAAAAATTTACAACCCGAGTAATTGAGTTGGGTCGGTGTAATAGTCCAAACTCACCGCTAGCAGATATTGTCCGCTTTGATCTATTATATATTGTCGTTAGTCTCATAGTTTTAAAACTCATCTATTAGGGAGAAGTTTCTACACCCTAATAAAAAATGTTTCGTTCCCCTCTCCAATCGATGTGGGATTTCATAATCCACCTTTTTTGGGGGCTTGTATCCTCGCTGACACAACACTTAGTATCTGTCTTTGATACCATTTGTAGTAGAACAAATCACCCTCCTTGGAGGCCAGCGTCTTTGCTGGCACATCGCCTCGTGTCAAGCTCTGATACCATTTGTAATACTTCAAACTCACCGCTAGCAAATATTGTCTGCTTTGACCCATTACATATTGTCATTAGTCTCACAGTTTTAAAACGCGTCTACTCGTGAGAGGTTTCCACACCCTTATAAGTAATGTTTTGTTCCCCTCTCCAATTAATATGGGATCTCACTGTCTGAAACATGTTACATCCCTAACTATAACTCTATTAGAGATATCTACTTAACCCGAATTTAATCCTCATTTAAACAAGGAATGAGAGAGAAACATGTCTAAAGTAAGGGATTATATCTCGTCTCCACTCCGCCCCTATCTCCTATTTCAATCCTCATTCTTACGAAAGCACCCCTTTTCAGTCAAACAAGGAGCTTCGAGTTTCAAATTCTCGCTCTACAAGAATCATCTATTTCCAAAACATGTGGAGAATTTTTCCATTAGTTGATGATCATATATTAGCATCATATAATAAAAACTCACACAAACACAACATAATCCTATTACGATATCACTCCAAGTTCATCCCACACATAGAACATCAAGTACAACGTTGTTCATCAAACCAACCTTACAAACCACCAAGAATCACTGTCGGATTGAACCTCAAAATAGCTCCATCCTTACAAAGCTCAGCCATCTCCCTCTCCGGTAGCATCACCATCACATTCCTCGCAACCCCTTCTTCATTAGAAGCCATTACAACAATCAATCCATCCCCTTCACAATTCCCAACATTATACGACACATGAACAGCCTTTGAATCCCTCACAAACTTCGTTGCATAACTCAACTTCACCCCCATATGTTCCATGCTTACACAAGTCAACTCCGGCCCGTACATCTTGAACGGCGCCGCATATTTCCCTCCCTTTTCTTTCCTCGACTCGAGCCATTCCATCGCGGTCCGAATCTCGTCCTCCTCGCCGAGCTTCTCCAAATGGCTGTGTATCAATCCCATAATCTCTCCCAAATCCCATTGCTCCATGTCCTTTGAGCTTACAGAGAGCTCTGAAAAGAGCAGAGCATTCCCAAAGTAGAACCTTTGTGAGGATTGAAATGAGGTTCTAAAGTCAGTGCAGATTGATAACGAGTGATTCAGCTCATTTTGGGACAGACCCTTAATTTGTAGGACTTGTTTCCAGAAGAGTGCAGCCAGGAGATCAAAAGGGGTGGCGTTAGGACAATGGTGCTCTGTTTTTGATAGCCATTGGTTGATTGTTGAGTTGGAGAATTTGAAGGTAGCAGAGGCCATTTTGGTAGTAGAAGCTGGTTGATTTTGTGTCCATGTCTTGGACTTGTTGGCATAGAAGCTGGTTGATTTCGTAGCCGTGTTCGGGATTTGTTCGCCATCTCCAATCGATGGACGGGTGAAAATCGGTGGCGACACGGGTTCGCCCCGGTGAGCGTCGGCCCATGCTTTCAGGAGGAAAGTTGCAGAGGTTGGATCTGCAGTTAGGTGAGTGAAGCTCACTCCAATGGCCACACCCCCTCCTTCAAACTCATTGATCTGGACAATCATAAACACTATCAGTCCCGACCGTGTTAAGGTTTATACTCATGTTCTCGTAAACATTTCAAAATTGCTATGAACTAGAAGTCCGTTTAAATTTTCAATGGATATAGAGACAAATCACGTCACACCTAATCCAAATCCTAATTTTCATTAAAAAGTGAAATTATTTCATATTTTCATATTTTCATATAAAATTCATCTTCCTACTTGAACTCCTCTTTTTTTATTTATTATTATTCTTTTGTTTATATTAATAAATTATTTCTATTTTTTATTTTTTAATAATACTCTTAAATTTATTTAAAAAATATTATTACTCTTAATTTTAGATTAAAAAATAATTAATATTTTATTTAAAATATTCTCTAACTTTTTCTTTTTGTTTTTCTAAATTAAGTAATATAAACACCATTCTTTTTTTATATTATTACCTAATTTTTTTAAAAAATCAAAATTAATTGAACTAAAAAATAATTAATATATATATATATATATATATATATATATTACCTGTATTCGGAAAGGCGACCAGATATATGGATTCTCCGGCATTTCTTCGAAAGGCGCTAGATTTCTTTCCTCGGCCGAATCGGCAGATCTGAGCCATTCATCAAGAGTGGTCCCCACCTTTGTCATCGTAACCCTAACTCCGGCGTCGTTCGCCTTCACTGCCCAGTTCCCATTCTCCGATCGGGTCAACCGACCCGTCACTGTCGGGTACAGCGACAAAACCCTCGACAGCGACTCTCTCATCGGGTCCAAAATGAACGACCCGAACGGATTTTCGTTGTAGTATATCACCACGGCGCCGCTGTGGAGCTCCATTGCGTGGTCAGCCGCTGTCAGCGAGTAGACCCTACCCGACATGCTCGGGTCACTCGACACCGCCGTTAGCTTGGTGATCGGCGTCACGCGGTTCTGGATTTGAGACATTGGCGCAGAAGACAAACTGAGAGAGATTCTTAGTGGCGGAGAGAGTGGTGGAGAGGGAGCGTATTTATGCCGGAGGAGAGAGGGAGTTGGCCGTTAAGAGAGCGGAAGGAGATGGTTGGGGGCCTTAATGGTGAGGACTAATTTTACTACTTCATGGACTTTTTTACGGCAAGCATACCTCAACCAATAGAATCTTCACACGTGTCATCATAGACCTTTTTTTAAAATTATTATATTTACTCTCTATATAAAGATATTAATGGGAATACCTCCTCGTGATAGCTATTTGACAAAATTCCAAAAATATCCCTCGTTTTTTTTTTCTCTTTTAATAAAAAAAATATATTTTTACATAGAATTAAATAGATTTAATTTTTTTAAATAGTCAAATTAATCTAAGTATTATTCAACTCGAGGTGTTTTTGAGTTCGATATCGATGAGTTTAGTCTTTACATTTAAAAAAAATCAGTTAATAATTTAATCGATCACTTTATATACATAAACGTGCATCATTTTTAGTATTATGTTCATGTGAAACGATAATTTCTTCCTTACTTAATACATTATTTACAATCTACCCTAAGGGTATTTTCGTCCTATCTTAATTCAAAGATTCTAAAAAAAATGCATTTTAGTCATACGTGAATTGGGGTATTTGAAGCATACTACTAATATGCAAGTAAAAGATGTAGCTTTTTAGTTGATAAAGAAAAAATTATTGATAAACTGTATTTAAGCTGATAATATATTATTGTTCGATATAAAGATAATCGAATAGTATCTCGACACGTGTTTGAAATTTAATTTTGGAGGAGTGGTTCGATTACTTAGAATAATGGAGTAAAATTGGAGGATTGAGTTGAGAGAAAATGAGTGGGCACAACAACCAGCCGTGGCATTCAAAACTGGCTGTGCCCATTAATTCATGAGGACAGTCTTAAATGTCACATTTGCCCATCTATCTTCTTCTACAACTTTTTCTTTTTAAAATATAAATACAAAGTTTTAAAATAACTTCCAACACGAAGAGTTTGATAAGATATGTCTGAAGAATTTATGGATAAAGTATAATATCAATAGATGTATTCAAGATTTATTAATATTTTTATAGGAGTGTTCAAAAAATTCAATTTTTGGGTTAGTTCAAATAGATAAAAACTATGTGAATTCACGTATTTCCTAAAGCTAGATTGATTTGAACCAAATACGAATTTATTGTTAATTTTTAAAATTTTACATTTTATTTATTTATTTATTTTTGCTTGAGGTACAATAAATAAATAAATAAATATATATTATTTAATTTTATAATCATTTATTCTTGAAAGACTCAAAATTAATTTTTAGGATATAATTATATATATATATATATATATATATATATATATATATATATATATATATATATATATTTAATTAATTTTTAACTATTTAAAAATAAATAAATAGATACATTTTAAAAAGTAGTAAAAAAATATTATTATATCAATAGGAAGAATTGAGATATCTAAACCTACATTTTAATATTATTGAATTAAATTTTAAAAAGTACCACTCAATGACAATAATAGACATTTTGAGTATGATGAAAGCTCAAGAACTATATCGAGCAATTTGTTAAGGTTTTTTTATTTATTTAAAAAACAGTGAAATTTAAACATATTTTTGTTTAGTGTTCATAAAAATTCATAACTTAGGATTGTTTACAATATCAAATCTATAAAGAGTAAAGATGAAGAGATATTGCAGCAAACCTGAAATTCCCACGTAAAGATGATCTTAAAGGACCATTCATTAGTTTGGTTGGATCAACCTATTGAGAATAAACAAGAAATCTTTTCAGCACATACTAAACCAACGCCCCTTGTATTCTTATAAAATGGCTGACTCAATCTCAACCATGATCATCAAGCAGAGCTAAAAGTTAGAGAGTTTATCACCATTGATTCTCCTTGTAAACTACCTAACAAGGTGCATAGGTGTGATGCATGGAATGACCTACGCGCCACTGATCGAACAAGTATACAAACTCGTCAAAATTCTAGAATATGACATCAAAACCCATTAAATAGTTCTTATCTTTACTGCAAATTGATCTTTGATATCAATTACTCATAATCATAATCATATGAGAGAGAGAGACCATGATTCCTCTCTTTTTGCATTCAGTGATCCTCGATCTTCTTCAGACCCTTCATGTCAGTTGTTTCAACCCTGCATAACAGATCAACAACTTCAACACTTCACCGAGCATAAAGAAATAATGAAATGGAGTTGAATGTTGTTTCATCTATTCCAATCCCATCACGGATCACAATCCCAATAATGTGCGATATAAATTTAGCTTACAGTACATGAGATGGTCTACATAATTCATGGAGGACTATAGTTTGTTCTTGATGCAATCCCCTAAAGCAAAAGACATGCATTGCTCATCATGGAAAAAAATACGTAAAAAAGAGCTCAAGAGGACTATACGTTATCTTACTACTACGGTTGCCAATAAGAAATGCATATACTAATTGTGAGATCCCACATCGGTTGGAGAGGAAAACGAAGCATTTAAGTGTAGAAACCTCTCCCTAGCAAACGCGTTTTAAAAACTTTGAGGGGAAGCCCTTTAAAAGAAAGTCCGAAGAGAATAATATCTGCTAGCGGTGGGTTTGGGCCGTTACACTAATTAAATAATCTATAAAGAAAGAGGAGGTTTAAATTCTTTGTCAGCCAACATCAAGTAGCAAAACTCTAGAATGGAATTTCCAAAGATGAACTATCTAAGCATTGCTTCACTTATTACTTTCCTCGAAAATTATGTCCCCTTTGGATGTACGTTCATATGCTATTACTTTATTGGTCAAAGTAATCTAAATATAAAGTCATCTCATCTAAGCTTGCTGATTGTGCAATGTAGTAATTCAGTTAGACAAAGCAAGATGAAGATAAAATTAACTCGAATGAAATATAATGTAATTGTTAAAACAACTTACGTTGTTCCATACAAGGCAATCTTTTGAACTTTTGTAACGTCAGCTCCAGATTGGTTATCCTCTATAAAAATTGTCAAGCTGATAAAGAATTGAATAGTTCAGAACAATCAACAGGGACTTTCAATATACGATCTAAATGAATAAAATTAACTCTGATGACAGAAATGACTTACCTACGAACATTTTGAAATTTCACGTACTTTACAACTTCTGGCTTTCCCTACAAAGCATAACAATAAAACAATGATCTACCAGTTTCTGTGTATAGTCTCACCTAAAGAGTTTTCTATTTTGTGAGATACAGATACAAGTATGGGAAAATCTACCGTAAGATTATCTGGGGAGAGCACAATCGTGTCACTGGGAGGGTAGTCATTGACATTGCTGCGATGTTCATGAAACAAACAATCATCAGATTACAATATTTAGAAAACACTTGCACCAAATATTAACTAAAGAAAACAATTCGTTTACCCAAATCCCATATTCTCCTTGTTTGAGAAAAGCTTTACAGTCCTAGGGCCTGGAGAACAACCTCAATATTAAAACCCTGTGATTTGACAGTTAAGCAGAACAAAATACAGAAAGGTGAAAGACAATATGTACGTTCTTGACGAAGTGATTCAGTACTTTTTTCATTTAAAATGAGATCTTGTATATATTCTTTGAATAGAAGAAATACATAGCGGTGCTGAGAGTAAATAAAGGGCAGGGAGGATTAGGATTAAATATCCTTCCACAGCCAAGAATTACTAGAAGAAAAAAAAAAAAAAAAAGAACTTCTCGATTAAATGTGATTAAGTAAAGAGACAATTACAAAAGTTTTTGATAGAAAGCACATTTATCCACTCCGAAACTCAATGTTGTGTTTCTATCCAACCCTGAAATTTTTTCCATTCCTCTGCCCATAGTCCATTACTCCCTCACCACAGCAAGAAACTGCAGTACAGCAAGGGATTTACAAGACTAGAGGACTGTTATTTTGAGTGGATAACCCAAAATAACAATAATCAAATAGTAAAAATTTAAAATGGAACTATCATACCCTCAATGACCACGTTGGATTGTAAGCCACGTTACAAATTTTCTATGCCAATAGATGAGATGAACTATGATATACATGCAAGCAGTACTGAAATACTCGGGAGAGAAGAAACCATGAACTAGAATTAAAAAATGGTGTAATAGACAGAGTACTCACCTTCCTCTTCAGGTCCCTTAATGACCAAGGAATGCAATTTAATGACTTGGTTAAAAGGTATATATATCAAAAGCTGCTCATCTGCATCACTCTCCAAAAGCAAGCTATCATTATCCCTACAAGTCTAATTTAGAAAAAAAATGTTGTTTCAAACCCTTGGTATAATAATTTCCCTTGGCAGTTGGGAATAAATTAAGGGGAAAAAGAGAAACCTATTTTATCATTAAAAAAAAATTAGTTTAGGTTATAGTATCATTTTTGTCCTTCCACTTTGGAACTTGTTCTATTTTAGTCCTTGTTCTTTCAAAATATTTAAATTTAGTCCAAAGTTGAAGAACCAAAATGATATTTTGACGTTTATATTTATAATACATCATCTTTCAATAAGATGAATGAATGTATAAGAAGAGTGGCCTAAACAAATAGCAATCTAAAAACAAAACCTGAAACAATATTACAATAGGTTGGTCCAATAGATAAAAATAAAAACATAAAATATAATTTCACAACACTTTATATGAGAACACCGGAATAGAGAGATGTTAAGATGTTCCACACTTCAAGACTCTTTCAAGGCTATCCTTAAAATACTTTATTTCTTTTCGAGCCATGGATTCAACAAATTTGTGAAGACATTTTTTGCCATTGATTCAGACCCTTATCATGGAAATTTGGGTTAACAAGCACCTTCTCCACCTCATCCCTACAATCTTCGGGAGTAGTCAAACTAACTCCAAACATGTGCAAAAATCAGTTCTAATTTTCACAACAAAGTGACATCTATAGCAAATGATCAGTATCTTTTATTGCTTTCATATACAACACACACGACTGATGGCCCAAAACCATAGATCAAGACTTTTAGACAAAGTCTATGGTATAAGTATGACCCAAGGAAATCAGATAGGTGAAAAACTTTATCTTCTTTGAGATTTTAGCCTCCAAAATTAGAGTGAAAGAGGGGGGATTGTCTAAAAAAAAAAAAAAGATGCATGGCTAAAGAACCCAACTACGCGTACTACTAAAACGGAGAAAGATTAGACAAATTCCGTAACTCAATATCACAAAGATGTCTTCTATGATGAAAAACAGAAATCAATGAATTGAACAACATCTATTTTCAAAGGGAATTATTCGCCAACTTGACCCAAAGAGCTAAATTTATATTCATCAACTTCTATATACCTAGCCAACCTTGCTGACCTCCATATTCACAACTTCACATCTATCGCAATTAGAAAGGAATGATAGATGTAAGTTATATTGTTGAAGAACGCGAGTCTAACTCAGCATCATCTTTAACTTCATAAAAATGAATTTTTTAAGAAATTCAAAAACAACAATGAAGTACGAGCAACTGACTAACAGCTCGAGTCAAAATAATAATAAACAGCACCTGGTTAAGAGCATTTGTAAAAGTGTGGCTGAAATTCTGGTTAAGGCACTCGACGCCAGACCAATTAATGAAGTCGGACAGATCAACCTGGTTAAAAACGAAGCATCAGTATGAGAAAAAAAAAAAAAAAAAACAAGCTTAAAACAATACAATCCTGAAACTCCCAGCCAGATTCAAGTTTTAACATCATCCTTAATCATTTCTCGAAAACTAAGCATGAATTTAAAAACCAAACGCCGCAAGAACTTGAATCACTCACCTGATTCCGATGAATAGCAGTTGCAGATGCGGCAGCCATAGCTAATCGAACGAGAGGAGAAGCGAAAAAAGAAGGAAAATGGGAATGAATTCTGTGTAAATTCCAATGCGCTCAAAAGTGGTCGCGTGAGGGGACGGAAAGGTCCGGTAGGAATCGCCTTTTGACCCGAATCTTGGTCGGGTCATGCCCAATAACCCGACTCCATATTCTACAAGCTTGTGGGCCCATCCAAGAATCTAATCCCCCTCTAAACCCTAGATGCATCGTTAAATCATAATTAAAATATATATATTTGGTTAATTTACAAATTTAGTCATTAAGTTATATCATTCACAAATAAAAAAAATATATAATATATATTCTTGGAGTGATTCTTGAAAAGGGATTGATTTTTTTTTTTTTTTAAGTTTTTTTTAAGGGTAAAATTGTCTTTTTACTCTCGAGTTATAAAAACGTCAAATCTCTGCAAAATTACTCGATCTTGTTTCACCTTTTATCTTCTTTTTATGTTTTCTTCTTCCTCCTCTCTCTAATTATTCCAACTTACATCATAGTATTTTTCTTCTCTCACTCACTTTTTATCTGGGATGAAGAACCAACTGTTCAACCCAAAATCGATAGTTTTACAGAGCATTACGAGCTCAATCCAAACCCTTTTAAAGCTCAATCCAAACTCGTCAAACGATCCACAAGGGAATGGTTGAGCATCATGGTATGCATTTCATCAGCATCATAACGTCGAAGTTTTGAATATGCATTTCATTAGTGTTCGAACATCAAACTCCACGTAAAATTTGAGTTCATTGATATCCATAAAGACTAGCACTACAAAGTCTTCGTTTTGAACGTGTATATACACTAATACTTACCTACACATCGATCAATAGGTACCTTTTCATTGATAACCATAAAAAAAAACATCAATTCTCCCTCTTTTTATCGTATTTTCTCCTTGTTATAAAAAAATATAATATGGATCTATTGCAAATACATATTACTAAAGAACTAAGTATTAATCTGTTATTGTGAATTGTCGTCCTAATATAATTAGTGAAATCTCGTCGATTCGTATTGACTTAAGTCTCGAAGTTATAGACCTAAGTGAAATCTCGTCAATTCGTCCTAATTTAAGTCTCAAGTTATAAACCTAAGTGAAATCATTGATTCGTCCTAACCTAAGTCTCGAAGTTATATCTAGCATTGAGCTAGGCTGAATTTGAGAAGACAGAGACCTAAAGAAAGTAAGATGTACAGGGGCGTGCCCCATACGTGACCGAGTGGTGGCGCTGCTAACAAATTGCTAGTCTTTTTCGAGAATAAGGTGGAGCTAAAGGTAGCTTGTCTCCCCCAGGGGGTTAGAACTGTTGAGAACAAAGTGGAAATGGTCTTAGCAAGGGTTCGGTTGTTCGCCATTCACCTAAGGAATCTCATCAATTCGTCATAACCTAAGTCTCGAGGTTATAGACCTAAGTGAAAACTCACCGATTCATCCTAACCCAAGTCTCGAGGTTATAGGCCTAAGTGAAATCTCGTCAATTCGTCCTCACTAATTCTCGAGGTTATAGACCTAAATGAAATCTCGTTGATTCATCCTAACCTAAGTCTCGAAGTTATAAACCTTAGTGAAATTTCGTTGATTCATCCTAACCTAAGTCTCGAGGTTATAGACCTAAGTGAAATCTCGTCGATCCATCCTAACCTAAGTCTCGAGGTTATAGAATAACAAACTAAAGCCTCCCTCTTCCCCATTGATCCTCTACCAACCCTAAATGTCCATTTCACAAATCAAACCAAAAGCTAAAAAAAATTCTTCTTTTTCATATAATAAAAAATAATAAATAAATTGGAAATTATTTGGCCATCGGAGTTAGGATAGGGAAAGTGGAGAGAAAGAGAGAAGAAGAAAGAACACAGAAAAGCTCAAAGCCCTAATCCCTATCTCATCCATGGCTTCCCTCTCCTTTATCTCTCCTCCTTCTCTCTCCTCCTCCCGCCATGTTTCCTCCATAGCCAAACTTCTCCTCCGCTCCCCAAAATCCATAAATCTCTCCGCCCGTTGCCGACCTCTCTCCGTCCAAGCCCGCTCCGTCTCCACTCTCACTCAAGACGACCTTAAAAAGCTCGCCGCCGACAAAGCCGTCGAGTATGTCAAGAGCGGCATGGTCCTCGGCCTCGGCACTGGCTCCACCGCCGCCTTCGTCGTCGCCAAGATTGGCGAACTTCTCAAGAGTAATCAATTGAGAGACATTGTTGGAATCCCTACCTCGAAGCGGACGGAGGAGCAAGCTAGGTCATTAGGAATTCCTCTTTCTGTCTTGGACGACCATCCGCATCTCGATTTGGCCATCGATGGCGCTGATGAAGTCGATCCAGATCTGAATCTCGTCAAAGGCCGCGGTGGCGCTCTCTTGCGAGAGAAAATGGTGGAGGCCGCTTCCGATAAGTTCGTCGTCGTCGTCGATGAAACAAAATTAGTTGACGGCCTCGGTGGAAGCGGCCTCGCGATGCCGGTTGAAGTCGTTCAGTTCTGCTGGAAACACAATTTGGTGAGGCTTCAAGATCTGTTCAAGGACGAAGGTTGCGAGGCTAAGCTCCGATTGGAAGCCGACGGGAAGCCCTACGTCACCGATAACTCGAATTACATAGTTGATTTGTATTTCAAGACTCCGATCAAGGACGGATTGGCCGCCGGTAAAGAGATCTCGGCGTTTGAAGGAGTGGTGGAGCACGGATTGTTCTTGGACATGGCGACCGCCGTAATCATCGCCGGAAAAGATGGAATCGACATCAAAACGAAATGATTTCCGTTTCCATTTACTTCCATTGGTGAGTTCTTCTGAAAACTGTTACAATTCCTTTGCCTCCTCCTAAACCCTAAATTAGAGGTTCGAATTGCAACTTTTTTTTTCTTCCTGTTCATGATTTATTGGTAACAATCAGCTTGATTTCATCTCTGTATTATAAGAAATCTTGTGCAAATTTTTGCTGATGATATGCTCAATTTGGGATGGAATAAATGTAATTTTTGTATCCATCTGTACTTAAGAATTGAAAAAATTAGTGTATCTAAAGGGATTTCATGTGTTTAAGCTCAGATTTCTACATCTTAAACCATAAAAATCAACCTTTAATTAAATGGTGAAATTTTTAGAGTAGGCATTAAATTGCCAAAATTAAATTATTATATATAAAAATGATTGTTACAAAATTGAAAAATATAATAAGTAAATTGTTATTCAAAATTAAATTATTATATTTTTATTTGAATCGTTTGAAATCTTTAAAGAATGTTTTTTTTTTATTCTTTGGCTCACTGGTTGAACAGGAATGAAAGTCGGC